AACAGAAGATACTGACTGTTTCTCTTTCATTATGGAAAAAAGTGCCTTTGATAATAGCAAAGACTCATGCATCCACTTGGTTCTCACAGAAGACAGATAAGGTATTTAACTGAAAAGAACAGAAACTTAGGGCTGGTCTACACTGCCGCGCTAGTTCGGCGGCTGGGGATCGAAGTTCCGAGTTCGATTTATCGCGTCTGGTCCGGACGCAATAAATCGAACCAGGAAGTGATCCCTGTCGACTGCGGTACTCCAGCTCAACGAGAGGAGTACCGCGGAGTCGACGGGGAGCCTGCCTGCCGCGTGTGGACCGCGTCTGAACCGCGGTAAGTTCGATGTAAGGTATGTCGAATTCAGCTACGTTATTTACATAGCTGAATTTGCGTACCTTACTTCGACTTCGGGGGTAAGTGTAGACCAATCCTTAGATAGCTTTAAGTGATCAGTCCTCCCTTAGCCCCTGAACCTGCACCATTACATGACCAGCTACAACATGGGGTCCCACTGATTTCATTGGGATTCAGGGCAGACACAAAGTTCCAGGGTAGCAGGTCGTGTTGCTGGATAGGGGCCAGCTGGACCATTTCTTGAAACCTCTTGTATTCTGTAAATGTACACATCATTCACAGTGCACACATTGTGAGTTCAGGCACTTCCTAACTGGACTAAGATGGGCCATTCAGCTGAACCCTTTTATGATTTAAGTCCTTTTTTTTTTTTATTGAACCATTTCGCTATATATCAGGATGGGAACCTGCACATGCCCACACTTTAACACAACTGGGACTATCATTCTACTTCACTATTCAAAGAGTGGCACCATGCCCAAGATGCGCAAAGGCGGATCCTTCTCTACTAAAAAGTACTCCAAACAATTCATGCTTATTTTTCTTTCCCAAAAATGAACCAATTTCCCATCACCCCTCCCCTCCATGCAATCACAACGGCTAAGGCTCTCCCATTGCTCCGCCCTCCCCAGTCTCCACAACACCTCTGGTGGGCTGCTCCCCGCGAGACAGCCGCCACCCCCGCAGCCAGACAGCACCTCGCCCAGCGGCCCCCCGCCACCGGCTGTCTGCCCCGCGGGAGGCAGGCGCCCGCTCCGCATCCCACACGCCGACGAGCATCGTTCTCGGGGGTTCAGCTCCTTTGTCACCGCGCTGCCCGGTGTTGTTCGGACCCGTTGTCCGCAGGGAGCCGCGGCCTCGTGCCTGGTTACCTGCCCGGCCTCCCCCGGGAGCAGGCGGCTCCCGCACACCGCCCGCCTCGGGCGCGCAGAAGCGGCTGGAGCCACCCCGAGTTCTGCCGCGAGGCGGCCAGGCCACGCACCGACCAGCAGCCGCCGCCTCGAGCTGCTGCCAGACGAGTAGCTCCGCACCCGTTGGAAAGCGCCGCCTCATCCCGTTACCTCCCCACCCCCAGCGGGGAGCCCCAGTGCGGCCTGCCCCCGACTCCCTACCCTCTGCGAGCGGGGAGCAGAGGCGCCCCTTACCCATGGCCACAGAACAGCAGCCAGCTTGTCGCGCACGGGCTGGCCTCCCTTGCACGGCTCCCGCTCCAGCCCTTCGCAGGCTCCTTCTCCTCCACTCTCCCGTCACAATCCGCACTGCGCCCCCGGCGGCAGGAGGACCTGCCCCTCTCTGCCCACCCTGGAGCGCAACCAGCGGGGAGTGGCTGCTACTGGGCAGAGCTCAGCGTAGGTGCCCCCTATGCTCCAGCCACACAGAATGGGGATGACGCCGCAAAATTGGGGTCTAGAGCCAGCCTTGCCCCACACCTGAGGATTCGGAACGGGAGGCAACGCTGGGGCCAATCCTTATCCTCCTCTTTCATAAGTAGCCCAAACTACACAGGGCTCAGCTGCCACCAGCGCCCTACACAGGCTTGCAGCAGTGGCCCCAGGGGGGCTCATAACAACCAATATAGAGAAAACGTTAGACTCTCACTTCTGCACGTATGCATTTCTGACCTAATGCGTGAGATTTCCTTTTGTATTGACAAATAGGCGTGTTTTGCATTGCTTTGTTGTAGCTTTAGGTTGTAAACCCTTCAGGGAAGGGATTGTCTCTTCTATAATTGTACAGCACCCAGCCTTTGGTCGGTCTGGTTGTATAAATATTTTATAAGACAGTGTTCCCCGCTTTAGGTAGATTTTGTTTATGCACTAATAAACTATTCTCCCTTTCCACTTGTCAAAAGTAAGTGAAGAAGAAAAGTCCAAGATTGACGGTTTACTACTACTTCTAGTTTCTTGGGATAAATATAAAGGTGCCCTCCCCCTATAGCATAAATTAGGTGTGATTGATACACACACTTCTGCCACCGGTGCTGCATGTAAAAGAAAATTCTCATACCTTCCATAAATGAAAGTGTGCCTAAAGAACTGTATGACAAGAGACCTGTTAAGAGACTTGGTTGTCATGGCTATTGAGGAAAAAAAAAAAAGAAAAACAGAGTTCAAGTCTCTTGCTCTGAAAAGTTGACAAATATGCTACAGCTCACACATCCAACTTCAGTAGGGTAAATAATCCAACATTATTTATCCCCATTCTATAAAGTACATGTAACAAAATCCTTGCTCCCTCAAACTAATTAATTTAGCATCACACGTGGAGAGTAGAAAAAGGAATCAGAGGCATTGTCACAGTTAAG